AAAAATTCCTACATCAATAATTAACACAACCGGCCTGTTTTCACAAGAAAGGGAAATAGTTGTTGAACACACCATTCCATGGGTTTTGACATGCGTGTTGTTTCATTTATCTCCCCTCCCCTCTCGGTTGTCCGTGCTACCAATAGTTTCCCTTTGACCATCTCCCATTGGTCGTCGCGTGAACACGAGCTCAGCCACGTCAAAACACACCAGCACACGTTAACCTTGCACTAGATACTGTCCTACACCCATCGAACATACACGAATTTTACACCATCTCACTACACATTGTTTACACGTAGAACTTTCACGTACACACAAAACTCCGTCATCACACAACCTACCCAACTGTAGTCACCATACAACATATACATATATCAGTATCTATATTTTGCTAACCTAGCTTAGATCTTTTTCAAACTGTTTTGTATAACTAAAGTATCTATCAACATTGTGAAGTATTAAGGGTATAATTCGGAATTCTTTCTCGTAACTTGTTTTAAAAATGTAATACTACATCATACAAATCCAACACGTTTCAATTTGCATTATTTTCTTTGAATTGTTTTAAACCGAAGGTGGATTTTCCCCCACACTTTAAATTTAAGAATGCTTCTTAAACACTTAAACAGCTCACGAAGAAAGAGAGAACTAGTCTTTGAAACTTGATGTATTTTATTGGATAAATAAGATGCCTCTAACGAGGTGGGTGAGGGGGGGGGGGACGGGGGACGGGGTGGAATTTGGGTTTTTAAGTAGAGCTGAAATAAATTTGTGATTACAGAGAATTAAAATGCTACACATTTTAAGCAATCGGAAAAGTTATGTTATTACAATGAGACACATCAAAGCAAACACTCTTCTCTTTCAAACATCTATATCTATACAGTCCTCAAACATTTTTTTTTATTAATTCAATTGTTTTAAACATTTAAATTAGTAATAATAATTTATTTGATATATTTTACTACAAAGACATGAAAATCAATTGCATATATAAGAATCAAACGTAGAAAATAAAATGACATAAGAACTACACTAAAATAAGGTGTGCAAACTAGATTTCTCTTGACTGCTTAGTTTACTGTGCTCAGTCCTTAGCTGCGAAGTCAAATGTTCACATTGTAGCCACCCATGGACAAAAATAGAAACGACCGTGGGAGAAGTGTCTCTGAAATACTCATACTGATCTATCATTCCAAAACTTTCCATGACATAAAATTGACCCTTGGCAATGAGGGGACGCTACCTTGAAATATCCGCCAGTCCGGTTGAGTGGGGGGAAGTGTGTGTGTGGGGGAGGGGGGGGGGGTGAGGTGTGTATCTCTTTCTACTATTCAGGTCGTGCACTTTTAAATTTTTTTTTTTTTTAATACTTTTATTTGCAATTAAAACAAGTGCATCAACATCACATTTTTACATAGTTTCAAATGAAAAAGAAAGGTTTTGAACATGTACATAATGACTATTTGTATGATGTCATGTATATGATTATAACAAAAATTACAAAAGATGGCAGTAAAAGGGGTGAAGGTCAAATAAACGTGTCAGAAGTCTGGGTAGGGAGTGGAAAGGTTTTTTTTCCGAGAATGACAAAGGGCCAGTGGAGCATTTTCTATGTAGGGAAACAAATTAAGTTGACTAGTTAAAAGAGTGTTTATTTATGTACTGGTCGCATTGAGTTTTCAAAAGGTTGCTGTGTAAAAAATGAGGGGAAAGAAACAAGATTTAGAACTTTAAAAAGTAAATGAATAGATATTCGAAATTGATGTTGGGGTGGGTGGTGGGGTCGTTGGAACAGTTAAAGGGAAAGTGGTGTTTTCATGTCTGAGGGTAAGTGGATAGAGGGGGAGAGGGGGGAGTGGGTAGATGTGTCTGACGGGGCGTGGAGAGGGTGTCTGCGTGTTTTAAGGCAAGCCAAGCGTCAAATTTTGTGCTGTGTTATCTGACTGCTGAGGTGTTACCATTTGTAGTGTGTGTGGGTGGGGGGGGGGGGAGGGTTTGACGAACAGATTGCTGTGTGAGCGAATTTGTGGGAGGGTGAAAGGTTGGTATGTTCAAGTCGGTGTTTATGTTTAGATGAATGTTTAGTACCGACAGGTTAGGGGTGGGTAGGCGTGTAGCTATCACGTGTGGGGATACAGTGGAGTTTTATAGATAAAAAAAAATTGGTGTTCACATAAAAGAGTTAGTAAAGTTAACGAAACAACTGTAAGTGTTAATTTGGTGATAATACAATGAATACAAAAGGAGTACGGGTCATTGGGGTCATTTGTACGTTGTGGACCAAAGTACTTTACATATATGATAATAGTAATATAGTAACAAATGATAGCTTTACAATGTTTGTAAGCTTTATAAATAAAACAATACACAAAAAGCAACAATAGGAAAATGAAATGCCAAATGATAAATGATGCGACACAAAGTGGGGACATGGGGGTTGAGGGGTGGGAGTTACATTAATGTTGTTAGAAATGTATTTGGATAATACATCATTGTCACTGTTTAACATAGTACTTCATCACAGGGGTGGTGGTGATGGGGACGAGGGGATGCAGTTTTGAGGGGAAATTTGATATTGGGATCATGAGGTTTAGGGGCGGGGGGCGGAGAGGGTGTGATGAAAGGGGGATGAGCCAGTTCGATTAGGCGTTCCAGGTGGCAAAAGCAGTGTAATATGTTCTTTACGTTTTGGTGTTGTTAATTATGGTATATGTGTTTGAATGCTGTCATTGTCGAGTCGTCTACGATAAATCAAGTCTAGTACGTGTCCCGTGAAACGTACCTTGTCGTGTTTTGCTTTTATTCTGCTGTTCCAAATAGTATGTCTATATATAGCTACCGTCCTTGCTTTTTGCTCTAGGTCCGTCCTATCTCTTTGTATTGGGATTTTGTTTAGAGTTATGACTATATCGATATTGTAGGTCTCGTTTTTTATTATTTTGTTTTCTAGCGTCTTTTTCATGTTTTGTATGGTGGGGCATGCTAAATATATGTGCGTTTCGGTTTCGGGTGTGTTTTGTCTGCATAGTGGGCAAAATGGTTTCTGTTGTTTTGCTAGGGGTATTGAATTGTAGATGAGTCTGTAAGTTATTTCCCTGGCTTTGGGTGTGATGGTTTTGAGGTGTAGGTTTCTGAAGATGTACATACGCTCTAACTTTTAAAATTATATAATGGAACATACAACATACTAACAGTACACAAACGCTTTAAAATGGCTTTAACTGTCCTCATTATAATTGTAGTCCTAATCTGCTATGGCTATTGAAACTTCCATGAAGGTAGACTATTTATTAGTAAATTTGTATATTTTCTTTTAGTTATGTTTTTTTGTCAAAAATATTGTACACATTTTTTTATAAAACTTACATAAAATGTTTCATCTGGTTACGTATGCAATAAGTTTAGTTTTACGACTTGCATAAATAATTAAAGGAATTTTTTCCCTTGGTGCCATGTACAAGTTGACATGGGAAGTAACTAATAAAACTTTTTTTTTTAAAGTTTCGATTATAGTTAAGTCGTGTTATTATTAAAAAATAAAGATACATTGGTGAAAATGCATAAGGTAGACGCGTAGTAAAACAATGTTATTCGCAGCTGCAACTGATTGTTAGTGGCTCATGTAGCATCTGTAAAATAATAATGAAAAGATAAATTAACACAATGAAAAAAAAAAGATTAACAGTATTGAAAAAAATATAATATAAAAAAAGTAATATAAAAAATGCATCATTCTCGTATTAAAATAAACGAATTAGTATTTTCATATTCCTGTTGTACAAAGAAGGTGTAGATTTGTCTAGTGTATTCTTCTTCAGTTGTATACATACCACACAATGATCGAGCTTAGTTTATTGTTTTATTTTTTGGGTCTCTTTTAGAGATTTTAAAATTACCAAGATTTCTCAAAATGCAACAATTTGTTTTTAAAAAAAACGTAATCTGGGAACTACTTAATTGGCATACTTTTCTAAATGCAAAATGTATAATGGAAACTAAATAAGTACAGGTAAACCTAAGCTATTGATAATATTATATTACCGCTTATTTGTCACTGCATTTAGGACAAATTGTCCTAAATAAATACTAACGAACTGTACGATTCTTTACAAAAATTTAATTTTTTTTTTTTAAATTTACAATTTAACGTAGGATGTAGTTCTCTATAACCTAGCCTACATTATGCCGTCTATCGGTATCCTTGAGTACGATGTTAAATAAATTAACAAACGCGGAAGTAACTTTTCTACATTTATATTTTACCGATTTAATGAAGATATTCATATTTGGTTTGAAAAAATAAAACGCACTCTGCCAAGTAGGTCATTGTGAAGTTGGCGACATGCTTATAAGCTCTATAATATGGAAATATACAAATAAAATTTTAAAAGGAGAGGAGGGGAGACAATCACACTGCTTAAGAAAACACTTTACTTGTCGGTAAATATTCGATTCATCGTTGCTCAACACCCCTCCCCCCACCCCCCATGACAGAAAAAAAGTTTCTCTTTATTGCAACTTATTGTTTGGTTGTTTGTGTTTGTATTGTAATACGCCGGTTTATGCTACATCTCAGATGAAAATGCAAGAATATCTCATATATTTAAGTATATTGTGATATTCAATTAGTCATTATTATTTCACTTATGATTACCCTCTTCGTGGGGCTCGATTAGTCATGTGAGCTGGTGTTCATGGATATTTTTAAATAAAGAGGGGGGGGAGGGTCAGCGTGGTCGAGTCGGTAAAATCTCATGGTTACTAAAACGAAAAGTCTTGAGTTTGAACCCTCGGGTAATTTAGGCTCGTTAGCTGGGGACAGCCACTCTTCTAGGAGAGACAACTCCAAAATCAAACAACTGCTGCCTCGTAGTTTGTTCTTGGTTGGACAAGTTATAGAAAAGCAGGCTGAAATCGGAGTCAATGGCCTCAATTTCGATAACCGGTTGACACGTAGAATAAGAGAAATATTTTGGTAGTAGGTAGCTCTCAGACTAGAATAAGAGAAATTTTTTGGTAGTGGGTAGCTCTGAGACTGGAATAAGAGAAATATTTTGGTAGTAGGTAGCTCTTAGACTGGAATAAGAGAAATATTTTGGTAGTAGGTAGCTCTCAGACTGGAATAAGAGAAATATTTTGGTAGTAGGTAGCTCTCAGTATTTCTTTAGCAATTCTAGAATATATTTAAGTTTAATGACCGTTGATGAGAATTGTTCCACTTAAGTTTAACAGAACAATCAGATTTAACTTAATCGACAATATTAACTCTAGCCACGATACTTAGAATAGACGTATACGATTTTCTAGACATAGACACAAACCTAATATTAATCTCATTAATAACTAAAAAATCGAATTATGTGTCTAAAATTAAAATATTAATTGGATCAGCATTACATATATAAGTGTGTTGGTGAATCTAATTTCATAGTTATATAAACATTGGATAGATAATCAGGTTTATTTTTTCGAAAATAAACCATTCCCAGTTTCTAGAAACCAATACGTTTTTAACAATGCTAGATTTTTTTTTCACTTACAATATGCAGTTTTACAATAATTAAAATTAATGTTGTTTTAGCAAACTAAGTTATCAGAACTAGTGTTATTAGATAATATTACGTACCCTCCTAATGCCAATACTAGTAACGAAGCCCGGCGCTGCCAGGATGCCACTGTTATCAGGGAAGACGATCTCAGAGCCAGAATGTAACAAGACCTTTATCCCAGCTGATTCGGTGATGGGCAGGTACTCGTCCTGCTCAATGTCCAGCTCTAGAATCAGGCCATTTGCTGGTCCTGCTTGTGAGACATACCTGAACATGTGTGGTATAACTTAATGTCTGTAGTAGTTCAAGAATATTGAGTACTACAGTACAGTGGCGTAGCGAGGTCGGGTGTCACCCGGTGCGGCACTTAATGGTGTCACCCCCCCCCAGAGGCATAGAGACCCTTCACAGGGACAAACTTTCAAATTTTCGATTTGCACCCCCCCCCTCAAGTTTTCGATTTGCACCCCCCCCCCCTCAAGTTTTCGATTTTGCACACCCCCCTCGAGTTTTTCTCTACATATTTTGCTATTGTTTTGCCTTGGTGTCACCCCCCTAAATGGTGTCACCCGGTGCGGTCCGCACCCCCCGCCCCCCCCCCCCTTCGCTACGCCCCTGCTACAGTACTCATGGTGATATAAAAAAAAATTAAAAACACATGAAAGGCATACATTTTATCTAAGAAAAATGTATCTATCATTGTTTTACATTTATATTTCACTAAAAAGTAAATTGTTATCAGTTATTACCATAAATGCTTTAAACTAGAGTTATTACCGTGATGCTGAAGGATTAGCTGTCCGGTCACCCAATGTAAAACAGTTGCCGTTTGTTAGGAACACATCCAGTGTGAAGTTGGCTGGAGAACAGTCATCCTAAGGTGACAATTAGAACATACGTATATACATTATATGTAAAAACATACGGTGACATACTATAATACAACGTAAGTCTTATAGTCACCAGAGTACAAACATACTCTTAGAATTAACACGCTAATTGACCAAATATAAGAGTCACCGCAATACTAACCAAGACGAAGTCATCACAATACTAACCAAGTCAAAGTCACCACAATACTAACCAAGTCAAAGTCACCACAATACTAACCAAGTCAAAGTCATCACAATACTAACCAAGTCAAAGTCACCACAATACTAACCAAGTCAAACTTTCGCCATGGTCCTCGACCAAATCACAATGCAAGTCAAAGAGTAACATATTGTCACCACCTCACCAATTATAAGTGTCACCACCGTACTCACCTCGTCAAAAGTACACGACAACATCATGTCACTCATTGAGTGACCTAAGCTCTCCTTCACCTCTCTTGTCACGTCTGTCAGAGCAATATTCAGCTCTTTCATTTGCTCAGCAACCGCCAGATTATTCTAAAGTAAAAAACACCAAAACGTATGTATTGTTAGAGATATTTTTATAGGGTTGTCTGTGCATTCAAGAGGTGAATAAAAATAAGTTGTCTGTTGAACTAGTTAGATATTATTTCTTCTTGCTATTATAGTCACTCACTTTTTATTTATACTATAGTGCATTTGCGTTTGTTTGAGCGTGCGTGCTTGTGTATTTGGGGAGGTGGGGGGGTTGTATATGTATGAGTGCGTGTGTATTTGTGTGAGCGTGCGTGCGTGCGTGATTCAGTGCGTGGAGAGATGTGTATGTGTATTTGTGTATTTGTGTGTGCGTGCTTCCGTGAGTTGGCGGGAGCGTGTATATGTGTGTATGTGTGTGTTTATGTGTGAGTGGATGTGTGTGTATGTGTGTGTGGGTGTGTTTGTGTATTAACACGCCATGACAGTTCTGATAGACCTTAACCCCATGTAACTATATCGAGTTAATAGAATTGGTCTTTGCTCTATATGTTATTAACATTTGCAAACAGGATGAATGGAGGTTTTATTTCATGATAACATGTTATCAGTAAATACACGTGACACATGTTTCAAGCTTGTACTTAAATTTTACGATTCATTTATGTGGACTTTAGTGGTTCGCCATACGATACGTCTATTGGCGAATCAATGGTGATAAGTAAGGGTGGTTAGCTCGTAGCTAGGGTATGGGGCGGTTCGCTTAACTACCGTCAAGAGGCGTGTATAGCGTGAATTGGAGGGGCGGTTCGCATTAGACAGTGAAATATTGCGTTGCTATGGTAACAGGCAGGAAGCGATCAGCCCGAACGCTACTTGAAAGTTTTTAACACAATTTCGAATCAAACGTATTGGTGTTATAAATTTGGGGGGGGGGGGGGGGGGGGAATGTGGTAAATTGGAGAATTTGTACTGACTCAATACGTTAGCTGTATGTTGTACTACAAAATTAGCTATATAGTTATACCATATACAGCCAAATTAGTCATACAATTAAACCACCAAACAAATTAATAAAGCTCCATTTTCGAACATGACGGTTAATGGGGCAAGTGAAGTAGAGTTCACCTGTTTTTGTGACCTCGGCGTAGGAAGGGATAGTGTGGTCAGCAGTATACCCAGCTGCCTTTACTTTCCCTAACGTGAGTTAGGTACACATCGTAGCTGGTTGGACTCAGTGACGCTCCACTGACTTGAACTCTGATCCAAAATAGATTTAGGGTTAGCATTCTAGAGCTCTACCACTATCACTAGACCACGCCGTCCAATTAATAAATTAGCAATACCTTTATACCACCAAACAAATTTAATTGTAGGCTACACCAAATAAACTAGTTGTAACATTACATCACCAAACAATAAATTATTAGCTATACCACGTCACCATAAAATCATAGAACACGATATAGCAAGGTTCTTTATTATGTTGGAAACATCGTAGCTGTTAATAAAACGCTTGTCTCTGCTTAAATTAAAACACATCTCTTTTCTTAATCCCGCTCGTGCCCAAGACACAGGCGGCAGATGAAGTAGAGTTAATCTGATTCATTGACCACGGCATATGAAGGGATAGTGTGGTCAGCACAATGCCCAGCCGCCTTTGTTTCCCTAACTTAAGGGTGGACTCACGGACGTTCCACTGATTTGAACCCGGATTCGAAATCGAGATTCTCGTGCTAGCAGTCTAACTCTCTACCGATAGGCCAACAAATCACTTTTAATAATTTTTTTTCAGATTGCAATTAATTAAAATACATTGAGCCTAAATTTTAATTAACAGTCTGGCATAAGTTTTATATATATATATATATATATATATATATATATATATATATATATATATATATATATATATATATATATATATATATATATATATATATATATATATATATATATATATATATCCTGCACTAAAGTAAATGTAACCGCTTTATAAAATTATTAAGCACTGACCTGTCTCCACGCATCGAACTGAGGTTGAAGAAACGTCGCCTTGGATACACGAAGCCGGTTGAGGTTACATATAGTGACAGCCGGCAGCTCCAGCGTGTGGTTGGTTTCTATGGAGAGCTGGGTGGACGACGGGAAGCTGTAGTAGCTCTGGACCGTCAGGACGATCTGGTACGTGGCCCAGGCTATGCCGGTAAACACAAACAGCGTCCATAGCAACTTCAGCCATGTTGGGTTGCTATGTGCTGTCCGCTTCACCCCGTGCATGGTGGTCATCTGGCCGAAGTCTTTGTAGATGTCAAGTATCCTGTCCACCATTTTATGGTCCAACTGGTTGCGATTTGCTAATTATACAACCAACACATTCTGAAGTTTTTGTTTGAAAACGTAGGTAAAATATCCTATTTTCGGAAACATAATTGTACATCACAGTGTAAAATGTAGCTATTTCAATATAATAACTACCACTTATTCTTCAGAATTAATTTTAAAAAGTTAAATAGCTATAAAAAAATTGTTAATAGTTTTACACGAAGATAATGGCAATCTTAACATATTTTTCAGTTTTCGAGTTATTATAATTTGAATCCAAGTGTAAAGAGTAAGTATATCACTGAGGTAACTGAAGGCACCACGATGATTGTATCTAGAATATTTCTTCACAACAAATACGTGAGAAGATAACAGCCTTAGAGAACAATGACATTAAACAATTATCTCAGCAACATGTTCGACTATTTGTGATTATCTGATGAATGTTCGATCCTTAGTCTCGGTTGTTTCCCTATAGCCAAGAGTGATCGTTCGTCGCGGTCATTCCCCTTTAGCCAGTCAAAGCATCGCATGTCTAACCTCGTTACCCATTTCTTCAATTCTAATTAATGCAGGTACACGAAATCAACCCAGCTTTGCAACTAGACCAGGAAATTATATTCAGATAAGTTCAGAGTTGTAGTTTATTTAACAGATGCTAGATTGTGGGCTATTATTTTCTATCTGTTTATATTGGGTCGGGTACTTTTTTAATGTCATGTTATATAACTTAGATTAAGAATGTCTTAATTTTTATCGTAGCTAAATCTTTTCCAGTTCTACACACCTGCCACTTTAAAAAAAAGAAGACCTTATTATATCAAATATTAAATAAAGACGCATCAAGCGATTTTCCTCGTGAAATTAGTTTTGATAACACGAGATTGTATCATGGTTTCTTTTATTTTTTTCAAGAGAAGGGTTGAGGTTTATAGAACTATATAAAACATTAATGAGCGGTAGTTTATTAAATATTATACAAGTTATATGAGCTAGATGTGGGCAAAAGTATTATAGGATGCGTGCAAGATGTTATTTTAAGTGAGATGCATTAGGCCTATGTTAAAATAACAGTGTATTGTGATCATAATTTAATAGTATCTTCATAATTTGAATAGTTTTCAGTAATGCAAAATGAATAGTTAATTAAGACTAATCAATATTAATAAACGTATAATGCACTTACGTCAAGCCGATAATATTTACATTAGAAATTACTGGAAAAGAAAATCGAGGGTTTTAAAATATATTTTTTTTGCATTGTCAATCCCAGTATTGTCCCATGATCTGTTTGCTAAAACCGCGTCTTTGGGCAAGTCTTAGCAAACCGTTTATTTCAAATAAAATGGTTATACCACTTTCAATGACGTCATTAAAAACGGGGTGGGTAAGAGCAACATGGGGGGGGGGGGGTGGGGACGATTACATTTTATCATTGAAATTATTCATACAAAAGGTTCATACACAATACTGAATATGTCCCATAAAATTGTTTTAACACTTTCAATGACGTCAATTGATGGTCATAACGGGCGATAATCTCTCGAGAAGTTAGTAACTGCTTCAAATGTTTTATTGCATTTTGAGTTCAGGGACTTCGTTTTTTCAAGAGGGTGTCACTAGTCTAATAACCTTAGCAACCAATAGCGTATCTCTGGCTAGACAGTTGTTAAGAGGTCTTCCTTGTAGTAGTAAGTATAACAATTGCCATGTCAAGATTTAGGTTAGGTACTGCTAGGATGGCCTGTTGCCCATCCTAGGAATACAGGCCGCTGAGAAGAGCTTTCCTGGTATATGTGTCCTGGCTCTACATTCAAGTTAGTCAGTATGGTTAAATATTGAGTCCAGGAGCCGAATATCATTCATAACTCTTATATTCATTTTGTGAATTGTATGCTTTGTCACATTATTACCGGATAGACCAATGCAATACATTTTAGGAACGATCGTCTTAATATTAATATTGAAATAGGCGTTAACCATTGTAACGGTGAAAAGGTCGGGTAAAGTTTTTATTGTTATGTTAAATAACAAAGCTTAAGGTTGCCTTTTTTTTACCAATTTCACAAATGGCATTTTTTTTTAAATTGTCTTTACTTTTATCGTAGCTTTTTTTTTTCCATTGATACACTTGACATTTTTAAATACACAAAGGCCTTCTTTAACCACAGTTGACCATATTTCATACGATATTCTTTTAAAGCTCTGACTGTACATTTGTGTGTGTCACAGTGGCTCGAGTACGTGGGTCGTAACAAACTATCTACCTCCCCCCCCCGTTCACGTATACACCTCCTTCTAACCCCACCCCCACCCAACTACCCCATTTTAAACTGTAAACATCCTGTTCAACACAAAAAGATCAATGACGTCTTACAACATGCGCGTAAATAATGCTCTCATTTCTAATCGAGCATTGGGTGGTTCGTACACCATTCGATGCCTCAACCTAACCCCCCCTTCCACACCGTCCACCCGGGAGTCCAGTTTACTTTGCATCCAGCAATGGTTCATTCGTGAAAACGGCCTTTGTGCAAACAACATCCGGGCAAGTGTCTATCGTGAATTTAGTCGTAGACCCCGCCCACCCATATTGTCACATCTCAATTCGAAAGAGAAGCCGGGACCTCTCCCTTGAGGCATTGTATCAAAACAACTCTCCCCCCCCCCGGTTAATTATCACTATTTCTCTCACACAGTTCAAAATACCCCCATCCCCATGTACCACCACACAGCACATCTCCAAAAACTGTCTGACCCCCGCCTTTACCCCCCCCCCCCGCCTTTACCCCCCCCCCCCCCCCAAAGGAGGCGTGGGACGTCATGTATTGACATGTTGAAAATGGAAAGTACTCTAGGATAAACATTTTAACCAAATAGAAATGTAAACAGAAAACACTGCCTAGGATAAAAAACTACGAACAAACGTCACTGTGCTACAGCGTGACCTAGTCAACCGCTCGGATTTCCGCTTGACTGCCCTCCACGCTCTGATTCCCCCTCCCCACACCCGCCAGAGTGAGATCATAGTTCCCCGGCACTTGAAGGGCATTCACCCACAGCATGTGTGGTACTTTTAACAGAGCCAAAAACAATAAACGTCCAAAATTCAGAACACTTTGTATGACAATAATGTATAACAAAGTAAGGAGGGGTTTTGTCTGGGGGTAGCGGGGTGGGGGGAACGGGGTGTTGGTCGGGAGGGGTAGCGGCCGCTAAGTGGAGGTAGGGTCGCAAGGCATTTACGCTTTATGTATATGCTGACGCCGTCTAACGCATGAACAGACTATCCGGTTACAATAACGGATTTATGAATTTTAAAAGTTTACTTTCCAAATCTATTGCCGGGGAGTTATGCACTTACACACACACACACACACACACACACACACACACACACACACACACACACACACACACACACACACACACACACACACATATCTATATATATAAAGCAAAGTGGTCAGGTGCCCGATAGGGCACTTCCCGGCGCCGCAGGCGCGTCAAATTTGGCACGAAGGTGCCTTATGGCGATAGAACACGAGGGCCGGTGACGGTTTGGCAAAAAGTCTACGGAGAGGGGGTCAAAACTGACCTCGACTGACCGGCGCCTTATATGGGCTATATTACGAAAAAAAAAATTCCTCCGACGACCCCCCTTGAAATTTTGTGAGGTGGTAGGAGAACACCTTGGGGTGTCACAAAAAACTCGGCATATCTGGGAAAACTTCGTAAAGGGGTCAAAACTGACCAGTTGTATTTCCCTATATAATCTTTGTATTTTATGGGAAAAACAGAGGGTCATTTCAACAAAGACTTTAAGATACTTAAGCTCAGTATATCTGGCTAATTTTTTGCATGCTCCTAGGTCAATGGCTTGACCTTTTGAGAAAACTGTCGGTTACACTCAAAGCCCTCGACGAGGGCTAAAAAGTGACCGCGAGTGAAATTCTCATTATATGAGCTCTATTACGAAAAAAAAATTCCTCCGACGACCCCCCTTGATATTTTGTGAGGTGGTAGAAGAACACCTTGGGGTGTCACAAAAAACTCGCCATGTCCGGGAAAAATCGGGAAATGGGTCAAAACTGACCAGTCGTATTTCCCTATATAATCTTTGTATTTTATGGGGAAAACAGAGGGTCATTTCAAAACGGATTTTATGGCACTTACGCTCTTTACATCTGGCTCAGTTTTGGCATGCTTATAGGTAAATGGCTTGACCTTTAGGGAAATCTGTCGGTTACACTCAAAGCCCTCGACGAGGGCTAAAGAGTGACCGCGAGTGAAATTCTCTTTATATGAGCTCTATTACGAAAAAAAAATTCCTCCGACGACCCCCCTTGATATTTTGTGAGGTGGTAGGAGAACGCCTTGGGGTGTCACAAAAAACTCGCCATGTCCGGGAAAAATCGGGAAATGGGTCAAAACTGACCAGTCGTATTTCCCTATATAATCTTTGTATTTTATGGGGAAAACAGAGGGTCATTTCAAAACGGATTTTATGGCACTTACCCTCTTTACATCTGGCTCAGTTTTGGCATGCTTATAGGTAAATGGCTTGACCTTTAGGGAAAACTGTCGGTTACACTCAAAGCACTCGACGAGGGCTAAAAAGTGACCGCGAGTGAAATTCTCTTTATATGAGCTCTATTACGAAAAAAAATTTCCTCCGACGACCCCCCTTGAAATTTTGTGAGGTGGTAGGAGAACACCTTGGGGTGTCACAAAAAACTCGGCATATCTGGGAAAACTTCGTAAAGGGGTCAAAACTGACCAGTTGTATTTCCCTATATAATCTTTGTATTTTATGGGAAAAACAGAGGGTCATTTCAACAAAGACTTTAGGGTACTTAAGCTCAGTATATCTGACTAATTTTTTTGCATGCTCCTAGGTCAATGGATTGACCTTAAGGAAAACTGTCGGTTACACTCAAAGCCCTCGACGAGGGCTAAAAAGTGACCGCGAGTGAAATTCTCTTTATATGAGCTCTATTACGAAAAAAAATTTCCTCCGACGACCCCCCTTGATATTTTGTGAGGTGGTAGAAGAACACCTAGGGGTGTCACAAAAAACTCGGCATATCTGGGAAAACTTTGTAAAGCGGTCAAAACTGACCAGTTGTATTTCCCTATATAATCTTTGTATTTTATGGGAAAAACAGAGGGTCATTTCAACGCAGACTTTAGGGTACTTAAGCTCAGTATATCTGGCTAATTTTTTGCATACACTACTATATATGACTAGGCCGTATGGAAAAACTGTTGGTCAGACTCAAAGCCCTCGACGAGGGCTAAAAGATGATCTAGAGTGTAATTCTCCTTATATGAGATATATATATAAATAAATTGACGAACGATCCCCTTAATATTATGTGACGTCGTAGACCGACCCTGGAGGCTAACAAAAAAACTTTAATCCCGTCGGAAACAGCCATTATAGTTGTTAAATATGTTCATATACCATAATCTCTTATATAAGCATAGCAACTGTTTGTAAAAAAAAAAACAAAGACATACGTCATACGTTCAGTTTTCAAGGGAGGTAACGTTATTTAAATTATTATTTTTCAAATAATTGTATACTATTTTAAACAGAAATAGAAAATGACGAAGTATAGCATTTGTTTTAGTACAAAATTAAGTTGTTAATTTAGTTACGTATCCCAATTAAATAAATAAATAAATTTCAAAAGGCAATGTAATAAAAACTATGAGATGTACTGTTCATGGAAGCTGTGTAGTTCTAATTCCATTTTACTTATACATTGCGTACTTTCCGATATTTCTCTGAGAACGTTATTTAAATGACAAATTAAAACATTTTTTTTCTAAAGTTAGCATTACTGTTTAAATTAAAGCACTCAACACCAAATCCATCGCTAAATAATTAAGTATTCAAATTCTCAAATGTTATTTAAAAACCTAAGCGAAGCTAGGCAGTATGCCTAGTATATATATATATATATATATATATATATATATATATATATATATATATATATATATATATATATATATATATATATATATATATGCGCATATGCCTAGGCCGTTGAAGCAGGTGCACTCTAACTCTACTTCACCTGCTCCATGGACCGTCAGGCTCTACACGGTTTCTTTACTTTTCCTTACACAAGATCCAATATGTCTGCAGACTGTATGTGCTGAACTACAAACAGTGTTGTTTACTGCCAGAGTAATCATTGAACGACACGATATGTCTTATGTCTTATATTCTTATGGGAAAAGGGAGGCAATCGTGAGATTATTTGCAAGATTTTAAAAATATTTACATTATTCTTCTTGTGCACTTATATTTTGATTCTTCTCATAACTTTAAACACAATTTTTATACAAAATAGTATACATTACAAACAATGTTTCCAATACACTGCTATATAATTAATGTTTGATCCTTTAATAACTTAAAAAAATTTACCTAATTATACTAGCACCCGCACTTCGAGTGGCGATTTTTAACAGTACAAATCAAAGCGACTCTAAACAGAAAGAGAAATGTCACTAGGTTATACAGTTGTAAGGTTTGTTACTTTGTAAAAATAGCTGGCCGCGAGTCAAAATAATCATCGATCATACACAAATAAATACTATAGAACTTTTTAATTACATATTGTCAGTTTCGAATATTTTTTTTTTTTTTTTTTTTTTGGTGAGGAGTGATTTTTGTATGTTTACTATTTTTTTTCAATTGAAAAATCCGGTATTGTTTTTTTTTTTTTGTACCTACTTTATAAACCTAAAACCCCCTCTCTAATATTCCAGATAAATCATTTAACTATCAAATGACACATTGATCATGAATGTGCTGTTGTTCTAACCCAACAAGACCAACAGGCTGTCTGACACTGAAAATGTCATTCCATTATCTAAGTTTGTTGACAGTTAAAACACCAATCTTTAGTAAGCAACCGTTTAAAATGTGTGGAGATTTTTTTCCTAAAAAAAATGAAGTCACAAGTAATATTACATAATTCTTATCAATAGTAAGTGGGTCTTATTATTTATTTCAATATTCATTACATGCATGTATTTGACACAGATATAGGTAAGAGTTATTAATAGCGAGCTGATTACTTTGAAATGATTAGATAATTGCCAGAAATAAATGGTGTTTCCCAGAAATGTTCAACATAGAATTTCGTTCGACATGTAACATAAACACTTCTAATTTTGATAATGCTATAAAATACGATTGATACATTCGCACTGTTTCTTTCATGACAGGTAATGTTGAATGTCAAACGTTACTGGACTAGTAATTTAAATATTTGAACGTTTTTATTTTATTTTATTTCCATTATTTCCTTTACTCTGAAATCGATTTAAACATGTTTTTCTATATTGATTCATTTACTGTGAAATCGATTAAAATTGTGTTTGGTAACCTAATTACTTAAAGAGAAATCGTAAATATCATTTTTACGTCCTTTTCTAGGTTGATTTAGCCAAAACAAAATCGACACGTATCAATGGACAAGTGTGCGCATTGTGAGAAGCCTAGCAGTTCACTAAAGCGGTGTTCACGCTGCAAAGTTGTGTCGTATTGCGATATAGAATGTCAGAGGGCCCACTATATCCAGCATAAGGAAATATGTGGTAAGTCCCGTGTGTATACAGCATAAGGGCATATGTGGTAAGTCCCGTGTGTATACAGCATAAGGGAATATGTGGTAAGTCCCGTAAGTATACAGCATAAGAGCATATGCGGTAATTCCCGTGTGTATACAGCATAAGGAAATATGTGGTAAGTACCGTGTTTATACGGCATAAGGGCATATGTGGTAAGTACCGTGTGTATTCTGCATAAGCAAATATGTGGTAAGTAGGTCTACCCAATGTATGTAACTAATACAGTGGTTCTTAACTTTTTTGGAGGTACCGAATCCCACCAGTTTCATTTGCGCGTTAACTGAACCCTTTAAATAGTTAAATCGTCCGAACTGACAAAACTAGATCATGCACCATATAAGTCGGGTGTGTGTCTTTACCGCTGAGACTGACTCACCGAACCCCTGGGGTTCGATCGAACCCAGGTTAAGAACCACTGAACTAATACAACTTTATGGCGTGTAGCCAAAATAACAGTTTCGTGTCGCTGAAAAGGCTAATGTATATAGCAAACAAAATTAATGTGTTTTATGTACAATCTGCATCCTGGTACTGAGTCTAGCTAGCATAAATTTAAAACAAATCTGCTCCCATTAAATTAATATTCCGACCTTAACATAACGAGACGTTATTATCAAAATTGCTATAAAACACATGAAAATACATTATTGAACAGGTGATTCGAAATTGTTTTAAAGATTTTCATTCTCGTCACACTTTCGAACACTGATAAAATTTACTAATCCCATATTATAAAATAACTAAAAAAAAAAACTCTATGTATGCTTGTATTAGCTTGTTCAGAATTAAAAAAAAAAAAGAACCTTTACTCTTGTGTCTACAGGGCCGTTTCATGTTCTTCGTAGGCCTTTCTTATGGCTTAGCAACAGTGCCTATTTTGCTAATGGATAAGACGGCCCTGAATATCTTCATGTTCATTAAACTCATTAAATGATTATTATTTTCGTTATAATTACAATACATTGGAAATCATTAGCATCACATAATAAGTTGTACAGCAAATGGTGTGTCTCAACAGGTAAGCAGTTCCAGGAGCCTGGTCATATCAAGGATGATGCCGACCCAGCTGTGTTTAACACCGGTATCAACAATAAACGGTGCAACCATTGTCATTACCAAATGAAACCACTAATGCGGTGTTCACGTTGTAAGACAGTGAAGTATTGCAGCGTAGCTTGTCAGAGGAAAGACTACAAAGAGCATACCGTTTTTTGTCGTAAGATTTTTCTAATGCTACAAAATAGATGTATGTTTCTTGTTGAAGACTATTATATACTTAAATCTTCTAACGTATTTTCTTGTAAATAGCCAAAGAAAACAAGCTTTCAATTAACAAAATGCCCCATGAGAAATGAATTTTCATTGCACATTTCTTTTCTAAACATCAACGTTATAATTCTCAGAATCATAACATAATCTGTTTTTTTTTTCAAAAAAACATTTAGTATCTGCTAGAAAACGTACATGCTTATAATTATTAGAAATTATTAAGAATAATAGTCATTGTTTTTATTTTAAACATTTAAATTAGTATTATAATACTTAATTGTTGATTTTATTTACTCTGATGAATTTTTTAGAAAGAAGTATGAGATTTCAGAAAGCTTATGCTCAAATTCCTGCATCCCTCAAGTCAAAAGCAAGCCGGCAATCTAAGTCTGTGTACACTTCGCTGAGCAAACTTCCGCCTAGGCAGAGTCGTGAGTACATTAGCATTTTAATGATAGTGGTGGCTTTTTCGGAGAATAGCTAAATAACATTTTAAACAAGTTCCGCAAAACACACAAAAAACATATATATATATATATATATATATATATATATATATATATATATATATATATATATATATATATATATATATATAAAATTTTAAAAAATCCATGGAGGATTCTCTTTTCAAATGTAATTTCTACTCAGGCGATGGCGAGTTCATGTTAATGGAGATTGTTGGTCCACACAGTCAGATGTTGATACCTCCAGGAGAATCAGTCCAAGTAATGGTGAGCTACTGAATTATGTTCTTACCATAAAGGCAGTGTCGAAAATAAGGCCCAACCTTTGACAGTAAAATACCCTTATTGATAGAGCGTATTTTTACAAAGCAACTATTTAATACTATCTAAATTTGAGAATATAAAAATTCAATTTCAGGGAGTTTTTTTTTAAATCAAAGATACACTTTCATACCTAATGCAGTAGAGCTTATGAATTACTTTCATTTTGAAGGATTTAGTTGTGTTGCAAGCAAGACCCGAGTCCAGTTTTTCTTTCCCTGTTTTCTCCCAGCTACGCTACATTGCCAGTTAGCGTGACATTCCGAATGCTAAAAACCCACACATCGAACTCGATGACGAGGGCCTATTCAGTTAATAATCGTGTCCTTTCAATCTGTTCTTCTCACGTTTATTGATTCTAGCATCTTCTGCTCCTCAGGATATCACAGGCATGACAAGTCACATCTGGTTCCGTGGCATCAAGCCTGACGCCATCACAACAAACGGAGTTATCGGTCCTGGAAGGAGACAAACTCTGGCTCAGTGCCTCAACCCTGGGGATTTTATCCTCATGGAAGACGCCAAATGGCATTACTACAGTTTCACGTTGGTCGGCCTTGTCGTGAACAAACTGGACTCAGTCTATTTTATAAAATAGGACAGACTAGACCAGACTATTTTATAAAATGGACGGACTAGACCAGACTATTTTATAAAATGGACGGACTAGACCAGACTATTTTATAAAAAGGAAAGACTAGACCAGACTATTTTATAAAAAGGACAGACTAGACCAGACTATTTTATAAAAAGGACAGACTAGACCAGACTATTTTATAAAAAGGACAGACTAGACCAGACTATTTTATAAAAAGGACAGACTAGACCAGACTATTTTATAAAAAGGAAAGACTAGACCAGACTATTTTATAAAAAGGAAAGACTAGACCAGACTATTTTATAAAAAGGACAGACTAGACCAGACTATTTTATAAAAAGGACAGACTAGACCAGACTATTTTATAAAAAGGACAGACTAGACCAGACTATTTTATAAAAAGGAAAGACTAGACCAGACTATTTTATAAAAAGGACAGACTAGACCAGACTATTTTATAAAAAGGACAGACTAGATCAGACTATTTTATAAAAAGGACAGACTAGACCAGACTATTTTATAAAAAGGACAGACTAGACCAGACTATTTTATAAAAAGGACAGACTAGACCAGACTATTTTATAAAAAGGACAGACTAGACCAGACTATTTTATAAAAAGGAAAGACTAGACCAGACTATTTTATAAAAAGGAAAGACTAGACCAGACTATTTTATAAAAAGGACAGACTAGACCAGACTATTTTATAAAAAAGACAGACTAGACCAGACTATTTATAAAAAGGACAGACTAGACCAGATTATTTTATAAAAAGGACAGACTAGACCAGACTATTTTATAAAAAGGACAGACTAGACCAGACTATTTTATAAAATGCACGGACTAGACCAGACTATTTTATAAAATGGATGGACTAGACCAGACTATTTTATAAAAGGAAAGACTAGACCAGACTATTTTATAAAAAGGACAGACTAGACCAGACTATTTTATAAAAAGGACAGACTAGACCAGACTATTTTATAAAATGGACGGACTAGACCAGAATATTTTATAAAAAGGAAAGATTAGACCAGACTATTTTATAAAAAGGACAGACTAGAAAAAGACTATTATATAAAATTGCAAAACTACACCTAGTCTAATTTACAAAAAGGACAGACTAGACCCTGTCTATTTTATAAGAAGGACAAACTAGACCCTGTGTGATGACGCTAGATTAGGTGAGCAGTCAAGTAGGTGCTAGAAACAGACTATACTTAATTAGTTAAACAGACCAATGAAATACAGGAACTGACCGGTCACGTGGGTCAGCTGACCACTGAAGCGTGGGAGAGCAGACAGACGTTGTTAGGTAGCAGAAGGGAACACTCAGACAAATGTAGAGTTAGGTAGAGAGTTAGAGATAGATAGTTTTAGGATTGGTCATGGGAGTGCGTAGTTAGTAATATTAGTAGACAGCATATAGTATACACTAGTTAGGTAGAAGTAGGAAGTTGATTTATGTAAAGAATTAAAGAATATTATATCTTCAATTGGACTTGTGTGTGGTGATTTTACACAAAAACTAAACTAGGCAGGTTACATTCTTCACCCCCACCCTCACACCCAGTCAATTCTATAAAATTTACAAACTACACCCAGTCTAATTTATAAAATTGACAGACTAGACTCGGGTACTGTATAAAAGTGTCTTAAAACTATCTAAAATTATGTATCTTCACTTTTACAATATAATTTTATAATAATATAGTCTATATATTTATTTAAAATAAAATGGGATCATATATTTTATTTAGTAACAACTAACACTTTCACCGGTCACGTAATCCTTTTTGCCTATAATTATAGAATATACTTATTTAAAGTTAAAGGAAATCAAATTTAGATCTATTCGTTCTCAAAACGAAGTTAAATGAAGTCAAGTGAAGTTTAATTACGGTATTAATTTTATTATTTAACTTTAACTATTTTATTAATCTCTACAACTTCTGGGATCCTTATGGTTTGCATTATTTTATTTCGACTTGAGTTCAAGTCACTAGATAATTTTTAAAAGAATCCTCTCAACTTGCGGATCTAAACAATGTCAAAGAAATTTTATTATAATGCAAATATAATATAAGAAATTGATGGTGTTTGTTATAAAAAAAAGAGAAAATATTAATTTTACTATTAATAATATTAAAATCAATTCTTTCTATAGCACGAAGTAAAATTAAATATTTGTCTTTTTATGATCAGACTTTTTCGTTTTTAATTTAACTATAGAAGAATTAATTTAATTACACATTTTGAGCCGTCTTTAGTAATTACTGGGAATTTAAGTACACAATATAAAAGCTATTAATAAACTGGAGCGCCGATGTGAGATAACGTGAAATGGTGTGAAATCTTCAAGCTAAACTTTCAAGTTGTACTTAAGATAAACTTTCAAGTTGTACTTAAGATATTTGGACACACCGATGTATCTGGTGTCTTAGTGAGTTAACGATGTGAGCTAACGTGAAATGGTGTGAAATCTTCTAGCTAAACTTTCAAGTTGTACTTAAGATATTTGACACACTGATGTATCTGGTGTCTTAGTGAGATAACGATGTGAGATAACGTGAAATGGTGTGAAATCTTCTAGCTAAACTTTCAAGTTGTACTTAAGATATTTGACACACTGATGTATCTGGTGTCTGAGGTTAGTGTTGTTTTCAGCTCATTGCATCCATCATCACCTACGTCACTACTGTGTGATTGTGTCTGAGGTTAGTGTTGTTTTCAGCTCATTACATCCATCATCACCTACGTCACTACTGTGTGATTGTGTCTGAGTCTAGTGTTGTTTTCAGCTCATTGCATCCATCATCACCTACGTCACTACTGTGTGATTATGTCTGAGGTTAGTGTTGTTTTCAGCTCATTACATCCATCATCACCTACGTCACTACTGTGTGATTATGTCTGAGGTTAGTGTTGTTTTCAGCTCATTACATCCATCATCACCTACGTCACTACTGTGTGATTATGTCTGAGGTTAGTGTTGTTTTCAGCTCATTACATCCATCATCACCTACGTCACTACTGTGTGATTATGTCTGAGGTTAGTGTTGTTTTCAGCTCATTACATCCATCATCACCTACGTCACTACTGTGTGATTATGTCTGAGGTTAGTGTTGTTTTCAGCTCATTACATCCATCATCACCTACGTCACTACTGTGTGATTGTGTCTGAGGTTAGTGTTGTTTTCAGCTCATTACATCCATCATCACCTACGTCACTACTGTGTGATTATGTCTGAGGTTAGTGTTGTTTTCAGCTCATTACATCCATCATCACCTACGTCACTACTGTGTGATTATGTCTGAGGTTAGTGTTGTTTTCAGCTCATTACATCCATCATCACCTACGTCACTACTGTGTGATTGTGTCTGAGTCTAGTGTTGTTTTCAGCTCATTACATCCATCATCACCTACGTCACTACTGTGTGATTATGTCTGAGTCTAGTGTTGTTTTCAGCTCATTACATCCATCATCACCTTCGTCACTACTATGTGATTGTGTCTGAGTCTAGTGTTGTTTTCAGCTCATTACATCCATCATCACCTACGTCACTACTGTGTGATTGTGTCTGAGGTCAAATAAATTGATCAGATAAGTCAGAAGTCTTTCCAAGCATCTCTTCGGAGGGCTCCCCAAACCCCCGGAAAATGTCTACCCCCAACCCCCAAGAACAAAAAAAAAATGTATATAGAAAATATATACTTTTATCAGTGTCCGCTCCCCCCCCCTCGCCGGAAAATTTTGCCCCCCCCCCCCCCCCCCCTCTAGTAGAAAAAAAATAGGAACCATCAAAACTATTTTATATAATATCAAAACAAAAATCAGATTAGGCTCAGATCACGTCTTGTCTCCAGTTACTGACCCCCTTCAACCCCATCCAGATAGTTTTTTAGATAGATATCTTCTGGTTGGAGGAAGGGGGGGTGTCATGTCCCTTGTGTATGTGTGGCATTGTTGTGGATAGGGATATTCCTTTAGCACACCGGGTGGCGGTAGCACACAAAAAAACCCGTGATTCACTCTTCTGAATCAGTTTCATAACCATTATGACCAGTGGCGTTGATAGGTCGGGTGTCAAATTACA